TCACGGCCTTGTTGCTTTGCCACGCGAGATTTGTACGGAATGTTTTGAAAGACTCGTAAGCAACATTTTACAGGGTGATAAAATGCTGCATTTTTTCTATTTTGTTTACATATTTATTTTGATACCCTTAACAAAGGGTTAAATTTGTTATTATTGCAATGAAAATGGCTTGGATGGAAGAATAACAAGGCCGAATTCTTTACAACCGACATGGGATGACAAAATGGCGCCGAATTGGACAAAGTTGTGGTTTTACCTTGTCGATGGATATATAGCTAGGATCTGCTTGAAACATATTTAAAACTTGTTTAAAATGTGCTTGATACCATTATGTCTGAGCTGCCGTACATGTTTGGAAGGATTTCAACGAGATTGGCGATAAACAGCGGAGTAATGTGGAGAATTTGGCCAAATACGTCTATTTGCAGGAGGTAGGCATATTTCAAATTATTTGTTCGGTCACAAAGTATTAACTATTTTACAGCAAGGCAGTGATAATATACTTAAATAAGTACCAATTATGTTTCTGTAAGAAAAATTTAGGAAAAAATGTAATGTAGGCCCACTGCTGTTTATCTGAATTTGTAAGTCACAAATTGACGTTTGACTATGAGTATTGCATGGTCATTTTCTTATGAAATATCAGTGCTAGGCATTTCACATGCACTTAGCAATGACCGCCCCTAAAAGCACCATCTCTGAACCATATAAGCACCTCAGAATAGCCAAAGCTTTTATGGATTGGTAGATAGCACTATGGCGAGAGCTTCGTTTCTGGGTGTGGTCAGTTTCGGACGTTTCGCCCCGGATTGGGGTTCTGGCAGCGTTACCATATCGACCGTCATGGTCAACTTGCCCTAAAACAGTTGAGATTATCTGTCCTAAATGCAATGCATACAAACTCATATACAGGTGCTTTGTGACAGACTATCTGTTGTGTGAAAGTCACTAGTGTTTTCATCAAATATCTAAATTACGCATGCAAAATTACTTGAATAGAATTCCGAATTACTTTATGGTTGGTTAAGAATTCTATTCAAATCAGCAAACGAAAACATTCTGTTACGCCTCGATTCATTTCAGAAGCCATATAAACACTTCGAGCTCGTGTCTCACCGAGATATCCAAACACACGAAAACAATGTATGAAAACACACGCGCTTCGCGCTCGTGTTTTCATACATTGTTTTCTCGTGTTTGGATATCCCGGTGAAACACTCGCTTTCGTTGTTCATATATTACTTCAAAAACTCATTAATTCATGAGGAAAACATGAATAAAAATCATAAACGTGTCGTATCTTTATATGTGATAGAGATTTCCCTTGATTTGGATAAACTTTAACATTGATTTTCTATACATACACAACAGATTTTTTGAAAGCTACTTCGCCAATGAACTTACTAGATCGACTGTTTTTGAAGCAACTTAAAACATTCCAATCGCTGTGTGTGTTTTATTAGACCATTTTTATATCTGATAAAACACTGCTCCCTAGTTGCCAATCAAAAAGCATGCATGATGCTAAATATAAATCTCGACTATGATTGCATAATGGGTGAAGGTGCTAATTACAAAAGGTAAATCATCCTTAATGGGCGAAAACAAATTTGTCATAGCCATTTGGGCAGGCGTTTCCCAAAAAGACGCCCTCTCTTCTCCCGCCAGCATTAAACGCCTGCTATGCAGGCTATAGGTTTTATGCGGTTTGCGATTTGACGTTCGAAGCAAAATAACTAAAATATAAATATCTCTATTATAAGAGCATCCGTTTCTGCTGAAGTAAATCACTTCAATTAGTCACGTTTAACAAGCATTGGTTTAACAAGCACTTCAGTTTTTCAGAATCAAGTTTCTCTACAACTAGTGCTTAATTAAACAATTAGCACATGATCATATGTTGAACGAAACTAAAAATAACTTCCCATGTATAAAATTCAATTGTATTTAGGCGAACATGCATGGTTTCAGTATAGTACTCAGCCATTCAAATTATAACAATAAGGTGAATTTCTAAAGTTCTCCTTTTTTTGAGACACCCTGTATTCTAATGCTTTATATTCACCTTTGTTCTGTTCTCTGTAACTAGAACAATAGTAACTAGGCATGTGAAAATACAAAATAACAGTAACATTGAATAACATTTTGATTTTTAATCGCCGTTTCGACTAGATTGTAGTCATTCTCAGGATTAAAAAATTATTAATCTTGAGGATTACTGTACAAACTAGTCGAAACGTCGATTAAAGATCAAAATGTTATTCGGAGTTACTGTTATTTTGTATTTTCCTAAAATACTGAGTGGTTCCCGTAATTATAGGCCTGTGAGTTATCTAAGGTTGAGAAAACATCAGTGGGCAAATCTGTCTCTGCTAAATAGTTTTCTTGGTGAGTCGGTTACAGTGCGTCTACAGTAAGTGGGGCCACTTAGAGAACACTAACCAATCACATTGGAGAACAAAAATTGAAAAAATCAACAAACGGTGCATTAGTCAATAAGCATTAGCCCAAAAACAATTTTAACAAATGAACATATGTCAAACGGTAAAAATAGACTTGAAAATTAAACAGTGCAGTTACTGGCTTCCTGAAGCGAACTCCATGCTTTCTTTTGATTGGACGAGCTATAGTTTGATTAGATTTCTATTTTTGTTCTGCAGTGTGATTGGTTAATGTTCTCTAAGTGGCTCCACTTACTGTAGATGCGCTCTGTAATAGAGAGGTTCAGATTTGACTTTCACTACTTAGTACGCATTTGATTGGTTAATTAGATAATTCTAATCAATTTGATTGGTTAATTGTCCCTTAACGGTAGTGAAAGTCAAACCTGAACCTCTCAAATAGCCGGAACCGCGGACAACAGGATTCAGGGTTGCAAACAAGCACGGAGCGAGGCCAAATAAATATGTGTAATATATCACATAAAACCAAAATTAAATCATTCTGACACAATTAAAAGCTTACCGCGTTCTCGATGCCCACTGCTGAGTCGGAGAAGTATTTTGTACTGTCATCAGTAAGATCGTCGTTATAATCCAGGCCTTCAAGTACAACAAAGTCCAGTTCGTAAACATACGCATCTAAGGAAAAAATAGTTTATTGCAAGTTTAAGGTCTGGTTGAAAAATAATTTGGTAGGTTGCAACGAAATCTCAGACGAGTGGAATTTGGTTGGCCATCGGGGTGATACAATTATATTTTTTCCGTTCAGATTTAAGAAATAATTTCTCCGGATGACAGTATTTCATGATTGGTCGATGTTCCAAAATATTGCATGACACGAATGGTCGTGTTGGACATTATTGGTGGAGGGCATACTCCAATACAAGGAATTCAAGTTTTGAATTTTTGGTGTCTGTATTTCCTGTACGTGCGGCACTTCCTGTGGAAGCGCTTGGATAACTAACGCTTCAGGAGCGTTAAATGTTGCTTTTATATAACTTGACAATTTAATTAAGCGGGAGACATAGTTAAATAGAGCTTTATATTTAGAGAGATAGTCACATAGTGCTATATATATAGAACAAAGTTTAGTAAATTCTCTGAGTGGATGCGTGCAAGATACGCAACACCATGCCGGCAATTTTCCACCCTCCCCAATTTTCATTGGATTTCAACGAATAAAAATACACTCTAATATATAACATTTAATTTTCCGTGCGATATTGACGGAAATACAAGTGTTTAAAGTTGCCTCGATTTTTAGCAATTGGCGATAAAACGACAAAAATATATCGCCACATCATACTAAATTGAATCAAAGCAGTTGTCACGTTACATGCAATCTTTTTAATTAATTTTAGTAATTTTATCATTAATTTTACGTTATTGCAAGTTTACTTTTAAAAATAAAATTGCACTTCAAGATTGATCCAGGAATAAAACAAAGTAATAATTCACCTCAAAAGAAAGTTCCATATGACGGCCCTTGGAATTCAAATTAATTCGTATTGAAACAAACGTTGCCGATTAGATTTTCATTCCTAAAGATGCTCAGTTAACAAAAGACCAAAGAGTTCCTATTTTGTATCGAATATGCTAGAACAAGTAATGTTCGTGAAGTAATAAGGCTTAAGCCCAGGTCACACTACACAACGATAACGATACGATAACTTGCATACGCGCGCTGATTGGCCAAAAATTTATCGTTATCGTCCGACTGAAAAAAAATCGCTCAGGTGAGCGATTTTAAAATCGTTATCGTTATCGTTCAACGATAATTTTATCATTTTCGTTGTTGCGTGGACACTGACACCATTTTTTTGACAATTATCGCGTGTTTACAATTTATCGTATCGTTATCGTTGTGTAGTGTGACCGGGCCTTAAGGCCGGTAAGATGGCTATCAAAAGCAAACAATTTGGAACGTGCAGCTTGATCAGCAGCCAAGGAATCTTAGACAAATGCGTGAGGCAATCGTTTCTGCTTGCGAATCTATATGGATGAACAAATGATCCAAAACGCTTTTGATGGCATGATTTCTAGAGCACAGCGGTGCATTCAGGCTCAAGGACATGCTTTTCTTGATGAGTAAACTCATATTAGTTAATCCTTTTGATCATAAATGATTCTTTACAAAAAAACTAAATTGGAATTTAATATGCTGTTTTAGCTAATTTGTTACCTTTTCAGAAATGGTAAAAATCTTCAAATATCAATATTGAAGAAACCAGAAACCGTTAGCTACTTTTTTTTATTTTCTACGACTCTCTACTAACTAAGCATTCACAACGAAACCTTTTAGTATACAAGTCTAAATGTGGAAAACAACACGTTAGATAAATATTAACGGTTGTTCTCAACTGCATGTCTTTGGGAGCCATATTGCTTCGTGTAATACTGCTATTATACCGGGTGTCCCAAAAAAACCATACCCTGTTTGATTTCATGTAACGTAGAACCTATAAAAGCTATATATATATATATATATATATATATATATATATATATATATATATATATATATATATATATATATATATATATATATATATATATATTGTTTTTGTTGCTACTTTGAGTTTCATGACGTAAAGGCAATCATCAGACAAAGGATTTTTAGTTTTTGAATGTCTGTTCGTTGGTGTTTGCTGACGTTACTCCTGGCTTGCCGACGCATGTACATAATTTCACATTTTGCGCGTGCGACCGTAATCGTATACTCGTGGTCGTAATTTCCCGCGAAAAATCTCTTCTGGTGTTGGCACGTTGTGAAAATTTCGGATCGTGAGTTTAGTACGAGTTTCCTGTTTGCTTTTAAAATACATAGTTTCTCTTCAGTGCACAGGCTACATTGCTTTAGTGCACAGGCTACACTGAAGAGAAACTATGTATTTTAAAAGCAAACAGGAAACTCGTACTAAATTCACGATTCGAAATTTTCACAAAGTGCTAACACCAGAAGAGATTTTTAGCGAGAAATTCCGACCGCACGCGCAAAATGTGAAAGTATCTACATGCGTCAGCAAGCCAGGAGTAACGTCAGCAAACACCAACGAACTGACATTCAGAAGCTAAAATCCGTTGCCTGCATCATGATTGCCTTTACGGCATGAAACTCAGAGTAGCAACAAAAACATTTTAAATATTAATAAATCGCTCTATTTACCTCGGGTTGGTAGCCTAGACACCGGGGTCATAAATTCGGCTCCTATTTTTTTTCCATTTTGTGTCGAGCCGCGCGCGTAGTCGAAGAGCCTGCGGAGGAGACGACAACTTCCGGTAAATAAGTGTACTTCCGGCAAGCACCAAAGCGAAACGGAACAGGAAGCTGTCCTTGCACGAAATCCGTCAAAATTGTTGATTTAAAACCAGAAGATGTGATAATTTTGACATACATGTTTATATGGATAACTATTCTCGAGTATATAATGTACAATACTTCGCATGCATATCATGGGAATACCGCGGCCAACTTTGACTTGTTTGATACTGCTATAGCATTTTATGGATGGTTCTTTAATACTGTAACTGGTAGACAACAATTTGCCAACTGTTCACTCATTGCATTCTTTGACTGTGGTACAACTATTACTAATGATGGATCAGTTATATGCACCTAATTATATTTTCGGTACTTTGATATATTTTAAAAATATCTGAAGTGTCTGTCGTTCTGCTATGTGCAATCAACAAAGCTAGCTATGTATATCATTCACTCGTCCACCAAATAACCCAAATAATGAATAAATACAATTAAATAATTGCGTCAGTAAATTCTCTAAATTGTTCCTGTATTTAACTATTTATTAGATAATTATTGAGGTCGACGGCATTATTGGATATATTGCAGCTACCTGAGGCCGAAGGCCGAAGCTGGCTGCAATATATCCAATAATGCCAGTTGGCCGAAGTAATTATCTATTATAATTACTGGCCCGAATCAAAAATAATTATTTTCGGCTGGAACACTACTGTACGTTGCTGTTTGTCGGGACCGTATGACAATGAACCTATGCAACGTTACACTAGACATTTTCCCGTTACACTGACGTCTTCTGAGTTCCCACAATGATCTTGGAAGGAGGCAGAAGTTATTCCACTAATAAAGGAGGGTGATCATGAACTGCCATCCAACAATCGTCCCCTTCCCTTACTTATAGTTGTGTCAAAAATTTTCGAGAAGGTCGTTTTATGCCAATTTACAACATTTTTGTTCCATAATGAATGTCTGCCATCGCATCAAAGCGGTAACAGGAGATATCATTCCTCGGAAACTTTGAACGTTTTGGTTGATGATACCATATTGGAAGCTATGGACCAGAAATCTGTAACTGCACTTATAATATTAGATTTATCGAAGGCGTTTGATAGCGTACATCACCCAACATTGCTTAACAAGCTAAGACACATTGGCGCATCTCCTGAGGTAGTAATGTGGTGATAATGTGATAATATTTTGGTTGGCTCATCTTTTAAGAGTCATGTTGAGTGTAGAAAATTCCACATTAATCATCGCTTCGACTGCAATTCGGAGAGGGTTGTTTATTTAGTTACTTGTAAAGGGTGTGAGATGCAATATGTGGGCTGTACTATTACGTCGTTTAGATTGAGATTTAACAATCACAAAAGCTCTCTAAATAGGTATGGGCAAGGTATAAGAAATATTAGTGGTCAGCACTTGTATGAGCATTTTTTCGGGGAGGGGCATTCGGGTTTAAGTGACTTTAGGGTTCAAATTATTGATAGAACTGAAGTTATCAACCCTACGGAAAGGGAAAGTTATTGGATAGAGAAAATCAATTGTTATTGTCCATTGGGATTAAACATGAGGGAGGAAAGTAATTACTAGCTTGATTTATGTAAATGTTATGTATAGAGGACTATAAAAGCTCTGGACAAGGCCTTGTAAGGTAATTTGATCGTTTCTGAAGATAGGGCTTGCTCCGAAACGTATATATATATATATATATATATATATATATATATATATATATATATATATATATATATATATATATATATATATATATATATATATGTAGCGGTTTTTGCGTTGTTTTCAGACGAGTGTATACCAAACCGGGCAAGCAGAAAATTCTACTTGACCGCGGCTGGGATTCGAACCCGCGACCTTCGCATTTCTAGAACGATGCTCTACCTTCTGAGCTACAAGGTCAAGCTGAGAACGACGTGTTAAGTTATGATGTTATTCGCATTTCGGAGGTTAGTCCTACAATGCGTAAAGCCAGCTATTAGTCTGGGAATGTTGTATGTGAATGTTGTGGTTTCCCACGTTGACGATTCCACTCGTGTTACGTTATGTAGCGGTTTATGAGTTGTTTTCAGACGAGTGTATACCAAACCGGTATATATATATATATATATATATATATATATATATATATATATATATATATATATATATATATATATATATATATATATATATATATATATAGGGTATGGTTTTTTAGGGACAAACGGTATAATAGCTGTGTTACACGAAGCAATACGGCTCCCAAATACATGCAGTTGAGAACAACCGTTAATATTTATCTAACGTGTTGTTTTCCACATTTAGACTTGTATACTAAAAGGTTTCGTTGTGAATGATTAGTCAGAAGAGAGTCGTAGAAAATAAAAGAAAAGTAGCTAACGGTTTCTGGTTACTTCAATATTGATATTTGTATTTACTATGGCTAACTTTGTCAGCGAATAAATGGATCAAAACCTAATTCTTTAATTGAAAAAAGTAAAAACTATCAGGCATGATCAACTGGAAACCTTTCTACAAACACCTGGTCTAATATTAAACCACGAGAACAAAACATATTGGTCTATAGTTCAACCAAACAAAACTTTATTTTTGAAACACACCGCACTATTGTAACCATATAGTGCATACCTTCACAATTACCATTGATAAGCCACTGACCAAAAGGACAGAAACAAGAGTAATTTCCATAAAGATTTCGACATTCCAAATTTGCGGCGCAAACCCTGGCTGTTGTCTGGCACTCATTCATGTCTGAAACAAAATTATCATCTTAGGTTCTAAGATACTAAAACATGACATTTACTGAGCAAATGGGTATACTATTTAAATATTTTACAGACCATCTCGTATATATAAATAGTTAGAAAATCGCCATGGCCATGAGTCATACGTAAATTTCGTAATATTTATCGCAATTGCTCCTACTCATTCAATTTTTACTAACTGAAATAGAGAACATTTCGTTGTGACTGCCTCCATATTCCATTATATTGTTTGGGACAGGTCATAAAGTAACTGCTAATATGGGACAGGTCATAAAGTAACTGCTAGGGTGGGCTGGAGGTAAATCACAAATTTTGCCAATAAGTGTGGCTACCCAACTTAGGATGTAGATAAAAATTTCAAAGCCCTTCCAATCTTACCAAATTTGTTTCATGACCCACCCACCCAATCTAAATTGGGAAAATACACTTTTATAATGAAAAAAACTTGCAGCTATGAACATATATCAATACAGTGCCGGTGTATATCTTTATTTTTGTATTTGCGAAGCAGATAACTAGTAACGTTACCCATGCATAGCCATTGAACGACGAGCTTATATAATTAAGCCAATCAGCGATTAGCTTACATCAATTGTTTACATCGTGCTCGCACCTAACCTGCGAACGGACGTAGTTTGGGCTCGTGTAAGTCGTGTTATTCTTTGCCATATTTTGGCTTCAAAAATATCTTGATTTTATCTTGAAATGGCTGTCTTGTTTTCACCATTCTATTTGTGACATTATTCCGAAGTTATTTATTAAAATGGAAACTTATCCTCATCTGGTAAGTAGTCAAATACGACATATTTTATTATATACATTTATACAGTTTAAAAACAATCATTGTGTAATATTTTAAGCAGTCAAAGCTCTGCCTGCAGGCATTATATTGCCAATTAACAATATCACAAGAAACTAATGTTCTCCTGGTCCTGTATATTGCTGTTCAAAACAACAGTCCAACTAAGTTGTCATCAAATGTAGGTCACCAACGATGGGTGGTCACCCTCACTGATTCAAAAATATGGCGGACTGTCATGAATAGCGGACACTGCTTGGCCCAATTTAAAGTTTGCATTATAACGACTGCATGACGACAGCGAAATAGCAAACATTTCTTCATTTCTTGATTTGATGATTGATAAATTTCTTGCAAATATATTTCATTTTGTGCTCGCATTTTGGTAAGATTTTGTAAATTTCAAAAGGTTTCTCAGAAAGAAAAGGGCGAAGGAATCGGCTAAAAGAAGCGAGCCGACGTTAACGAAGGTAAGTTTGTTTTAAATATTGATTTTATAATGACTTTAAAACCCGTCGGCATTTGCGTATAAGAAACAACTATTACAAGACAGCATATAATTTCAGTGTATCTTTAATAATATTGATTCCCTTTTTCATTATATTGAATTTTTTAAATAAAAAAGAAAGCAAAGTCATTTGCAAGCGAGAATTTGAAATCATTTTATTGCAAACTCAAAGTTTATCGATAAAGCCATTTAATTAAAGGCAGTTTAGTTTGATAAAGAACACTTTAAAACGTTTTGCGAAGCGTTTGTGGTTGACTTTTACCTTAAATTGAAGCTTATATTACGTATAATAACATACCTAACATATATATGTTGGGAAATTGATAATTTTGTAATTAAAAGTGATATTTTTAGGCGATTTTTCATTTGTAAGAATATTCTTATAAAATTATCGTGTTACCACGACAACTCCTTTAGTTGTTCGGAAAATACAATTTTTTTGTCAGCAAGGCGAGGGTTTCTGTAATGCATGTATTTTCTAGTATGGAAATTAATTTAACAGCAAAAATAATTATATATTATATGGATGGATCAGATCAATGGCACACAATGTACAAAACTAAACTTGTGATACCTTCCACTCAAACAGATATTCTCCCACAACACAAGTTGTTTTTGCCTGGATATGCTGAGTTAAGCCGAACGGTGTGGTATATATATATATATATATATATATATATATATCTCGAACTCATTAATAATTCATGAGCAAATTAGCGAATGAACTCACCCTAATTCGTCACATGATTGAGGTTGGATACCGCAAGGAAACACGCTAAAAATCATATACCATCACTGTTGTTAGATGAAAAAGGTTTTCATCTAATAACTGAGATCCTAATTACAAACTCAAGTCAAAACACAACAATGTACTATAATAATTACTGACGGTCATAATAACCTATTGTTTTCTCTCTGCATTATATCAGCGAATGTCGAGAAGCTAAAATAGCACCCAGCATTATTAAAAATAATGCAGCGTGCACACAGCATTATTAAAAATAATGCAGCGTGCACACAGCATTATTCAAAATAAAGCAGCGTGTATCAGTGCACACAGACATTATTCGCAATCCTTCGTCATCCTGACAAGTACACGCGATAACGTGAACATCTCAAGATGAGAAGTTGACAGTGCTAAAGGCCCCTCATACAATATCATCGGGCGACTGAAGCACTGCCAAAACGGTCACTGTGAGTCCTTTCAGCTCAAGTTTATAGAGAAATAGTTTCGTTTGAGCTTGTGGGATTTTATCCTAGATATACGCGTGTGCAGAACACACCATAACTTCTATTCCCGTGTTTATCCAGTTTAATAATGTTTTCGTTCGAGATGTTATGTAAACAATTCGTTTCTCGTGTTTCATCAGGGGACCAAACACTCGAAAACAATAAAACACTCGTGCTTCGCGCTCGTGTTTCATACAGTTTTCTCGTGTTTGGATCCCCTGATGAAACACTCAAACTCGTTGTTTACATATAACATCATTAACTGTGCACAGGATTGGAATTGAATTATACACTTCACTCATGACCTTCAGAACATTCTGTAGCCTACTATTCAGTGGTTTTCGATAAATGATTTACTCTTTGCTGCAGTAATCCATGTTCCTCGATTAGTTTGTGTATGTCACTCAACAGTTAACATTGCCAAGTGTAAACAACAAGTAACAGAACTTTTGATTCATACTGGATTACAGTAAAGTTTTGACAATTTGATGAGTATGGATTGACAAGTGACAGACTACTAAATAGCCGGCTGTATAGACACTTCGAATGTTGTTTGTATGAAATTTTTATTTCCTGACTGCATAATTATCCGTTACAAGCATAATCACATTACAAAATTATTTAAATTTTCTCGAGGGGGGGGGGCAGTTGCCCCTGCTGCCCGTTAGATTTGTATTATGTAAAATCTTATTTGTAAAATCTTATTTGCTATTATATTTATCATAATAAGCGATGAAAGTGGATATGGGTTTTTGCTTGGTGGCCCAACTGTGGACATACAAAATAATTGGCGGCCCATAGAAACTGCCCAAAGATTTTCCACAGCCCATCCCAAATTACTCCAGCCCACCCTGGCAGTTACTTTATGACCGGTCTCTTAAAGGTATATTGTGCCTGGCTAAAAAATCCACTAAATCAAAATAGTTTTCGTCTGCCAAAATTGCATGGCAAAGGGCAAATGCTATTGTAACCACCCATCATTGTTTTAGACCGGCGAACGGCGAATTTCGCCAGTGCTAAGAAGACATTTGACACGCATTCGCCAGAGACATTTGACAGCCAATCGCCATTTATGCAATTATCGACCAATCTCTTTACTTCCTGCATTTAGTAAGCTGCTAGAAAAATTGATATATATATTAGGGGTGATAGATTTTCTTAACAAAAATAATGTTATATTTCCTGCACAGTTTGGTTTTCGGGAAAATCACTCACATGCTTCAATTCCTATTGTTGAAAAAATTCAAAAAGCAATTGGAGAAAAACATGTCTCTTGTGGAATATTTCTTGATTTCTGTAAAGCATTTGATACGGTTGACCATTCTATTTTGTTATATAAATTGCCCCATTATGAAATCAGAGGTATAGCCATTAAATGGTTTAATTTGTATTTGAAAACTAGAAAACAGTTTGTTTCTGTTGGTAATGTAAAATCTAATCTTAATGAAGTTGTATGTGGTGTACCATAAAGCTCAGTATCGGGTCCTTTACTTTTTTTTAATATGTATCAATGATTTTAATAGCTCATCTAATTTATTAGATTTTCATCTTTTTGCCGATACGACTCAAATCTTTCCTACTCTGACAATAAATTATGGTCTCTTGAATTGCATTAGAATCAACAATTAATTAATATTCATAAATGGTTATGTGCCAACAAATTATTGTTAAATGTTGATAAATCGCACTTTGTTATTTTCAACCCTTTTCAAAAGAAAATTAATTATAATGTTTGTCTTTCTATCGATAATGAAGTTCTCACTCAAAAAAGTAGTTTAAAATATTTGAGAGTAATTATTGATTCTAATCTTAGTTGGAAGGAGCATATATTAATGAACTTTGCAAAAAGATATCTCGCTGTATTGGAATATTATTAGTTTTGTTCATATTGACTTATTTATTCAGATTTATTACTCTATCATTTATCCATTCTTAATATATGGTGCAATTGTATGGGGTATGATGCTTACAAATCTAACGTTTTACCGTTGACTTTATAAAAAAAAAAAGCAATTCGTATTATAACTTTTTCACCTCCTACAACTCACACTTCTCCTCTTTTAACTTCGCTACTAAAATTCCCTGATATAGTTCATTATTTGACAGTTTTATTTATGTATCAGTTCCATTATGGTACTCTTATTCCGTTTATTTTTTCTGATCTTTTCAAAAAAAGGGGTGAATGTTCATAATTATAATACCAGACTATCATCTGAACTATCATATGCTTTACCTAATTAATATTCGAACTAACTATGGTATTTTTAATATTAGATACTGTGGTTCACAGTTATGGAATTCTATTGAGGAGTCCATGAAATTGCTGGATAAACATGTGTTCAAAAAGCGACTTAAATTATTTTTGATTGCTTCATATTAAAATGATAATTTTATGGCGAATTTGAGAATACTTTTTCCTGTATCTTACTCATTATGCGTGCACTTAAGTTAAATACGTTGTGGTTTAGCAGATCACCTATCCAGATTAGCCCTTTATGGTTATTATAGGTGATTTTGCACATTATTTCATTCACAGTAAAAATTTCTTGTATTTTTTCCCAATGTAATCGTATGTGTGCAAATAAAATTATTATTATTATTATTATTATTATTATAGAACCTATCAAAATGGGGACTATCATCAACATCCGATTGCTCTTTCTGCTCCTCACCTGAAACGCTGCTACATGTGATTGCTGGGTGTAAGACATATTTAGACGAAGGCCGGTTTATATGGCGACACGATTCTGTTTTAAATTTCCTCGCATGCACTCTTACTGCTATCAAAAATTCCACAATTTACGCGGACATTCCTGGTTTTATGAATCCATCTGTGATCACGGGAGATCGTTTACGACCTGACCTTCTGCTGGTGACTGAAAACAGATGTCTATACATCCTCGAGCTTACAGTCGGTTATGAATCCAATCTGCTAGTTAACGCCAATCGTAAGCGTCAAAAGTACCGTGATCTAATCAATGAGCAGGAAGCAGATTATGATAAAGTCAAGTTCGTCAATTTATCCTTGAGTACCCTCGGAGTTTTTGGCCGATCTTCTGAAAATTTCGATAGCATGCTAAGTAGCCTTAAATGTGATGCCAAGTATAGTAAATACATAAAAAAGCAAATCGTGAACATATGCATACGAACATCATATTATGTATTTTGTAAACGAAACAAGGTGTGGGATAACCCAAAATTAATGTTAATATAATCCTTCTTAATTAAAATAATTATTGTACAATAAATATATGGTATCAATTCAAGTAGACATTGATAAACTACCTGTAAAGCGAGGTTTATCATTGTAGTTGTATATATCTTAATAATCAATAAATAAAGTTTCCATTATTATTATTATTTGATATGCTCCATGATCTGAAGTACGACGAACAATGTATTAAATATGTAAAAAAGAAAATAATTGCCACTTGTATTCGCACGTCTTATTATATATTCTGTAGACGAAACAAAGACTGGAACAACCCAGAACTTTTAAACTTTTAACTAAATTTAAAAGATTTTCACCTGTATATATATTTTAGCTTTATATTCAATTCAAGTGGACATCGATAAGCTAGCTTTGATTAAGTAATCTGTCACACACTAACTCAATTTTGAAATACTACATATTGCTTACCAGAACATGTCACTCCTTCAAAGCCGTCCTTACATGTGTATTGACATCTTCCTAACAGGTCAGTGCAAATTGCGTTCTCTGGACATGCGCCCGGTTCAGCGCAATCGTTGATTTCTAGAAATAAATTATACAATATGAATTCAAGTCCAATCCGTGACTCGAACAATAGGGAAATTGGAAATTGCTATTGTTGGTGCGTATTGTATTTTTGCCAGATTGATGATTATACGTTGACAAACAGAGAAAATAAATATATACATTGTTCTAATGAGTTTCACAGCAATCTTCTCTTCGATAGGCTAAGCATTACACGAAGGCGAAATTTATTGGATACATTGACAATGTTCACCTGAACATTGCAATTTGCAACTTCTCTGTCGAAAGTCTCTTACCATGGCAACACCATGCTTAGAATAAAGCTCAAAATTTGTCTTTTTCTGGTCATTTTCAAAATATTCCCCTCGGTATTTTTTTAATTTTTACTTGTTTAAAGATTTTTTCCTCAATTTTACAAATTCTATCGATAGGTTTTTTCGAAAATTGAAAAAAAAAATCGAAAAAAATCAATCTTAAGAAATGTCCTAAAAAAATTTAAGATAAAAGCATATTGCACTTGATGAGCCGATATTAAGAAATGTGCAAATTTAAAAAAAAAATTACCGAAGGAAAAGGGAGAAATTTAATAAAAACATACTTAGGTAGTTACTGCATGACTATGACTTGTTGGTATTAATTAGAAATGCTCAACGATTGATGTCAAATTCGTCTGTTGCAAGTTAGTGCTTTCGTCAGATGTTTTCGCCAAACGTCCGTAAAAATTCAGATTTGATGGACCAGATGGTGGTATGTTTGTGGACTTTTGATCCTGCTCATTTCGGTCGTAGACGTATTTAAGTCCAATCTGATACGGTTTTCACTTCCGCTACGAAACCCGCTGCAGCGAAAACCCTGACACAGGCTGGTCACGTGGCTCCCAGATTTTGGCTGCTTATAGATTTTGATATACAATATACTGTCAATTTGTTATGCATTTGCGGAGTTTAACGGACACATTTGACACATGGATAACGCTTGTTTATACCGATCAGTTCAAAACTTGAGACAATTTACAAAGGTATGAACTATAACTATGAAAAGCATTGCATATACTTTATGTAGAATTATCTGAGAATTTTTATATCGTCAAAAACAGTATATCGTAATCGTTTAAAGTCAATAAAATAGTGTAATGTTTGTAATGCTTTGTTGGTGCTGCTAGTAGGCTATCACTACTAGCCTACTAATAGCGTTGCCAATCAGAACGCACAATATACATGATAGCCTACTAGTACGTTTATACTAAAGAAGGATAGACAAGGCAGTGAAGACTGAAAGTGAAATGTCTGAATGCAATATTCCCCGAGCCGACGGCGCGAAGCGCCGTGCGAGGGTACTAATTCCCACCGGCTATTTACACCCGGGGAAACGAAAGCATTAGCGAAGTCTAAAGTTCATCAATTATCGCGGGCGTAGGTGACCAACGATGGGTGGTCATCCTTTTTGATCTCAAAAATATGGCGGACTGTCGTGAATAGCGGTTCAATTTGATAGGTCCAATTTAAAGTTTGCATTATAACGACTGCATGACGACAGCGAAATAGCAAACATTTCTTGATTTGATGATTGATAAATTTCTTGCAAATATATTTCATTTTTGCTCCCATTTTTGCAAGATTTTGTAAATTTCAAGAAAGAAAGGGCGAAAGAATCGGCAAAAAGAAGGTAGCCGACGTTAACGAAAGTAAGTTTGTTTTAAATATTGATTTTATACCATTTTAAAATCCGACGGCCTTTGCGTATATGAAACAACTAAACAAGACAGCATATAATTTCAGTGTATCTTTAATATTGATTCCCTTTTTTATTATATTGAATATTTTAAATAAAAAAGAAAGCAAAATTATTTGCATGCGAGAATTTGAAATAATTTTATTGCAAACTCAAAGTTTATCGATAAAACCATTTAAAGTTTTATAAAGAACACTTTTGGTTGAATTTTACCTTAAATTGAAGATTATATTGCGTATAATAACATACCTAACATATATATGTTGGGAAATTGATAATTTTGTAATTAAAAGTGATATTTTTAGGCGATTTTTCATTTGTAAGAATATTCTTAAAAAATTATCGTGTTACCAAGACAACTACTTTAGATACTTCATGTTCGAAAAATACAATGGTTTTGTCAGCGGGGCGAGGGTTTCTGCATGCATGTATTTTCTAGTTTAGAATGTATAGCCATAGGTGTATTGAAGGTTTTTGGACTTTTATGTGCTACTACTGACAGTACTAGCATTCGCTTTTTTTTTCAATTTCATTTCACTGTTTCAGTTTACAGTCGAGATTTAATTGAGCTATAACCACTGCAACTAATGGTTGGCTAATATAGTTTTTCATGTAGATAATTTTTTGAGTTTATTGGAGCAATTTGTTTCAGGTTTTGTTACGTTATGAAGCAAGATTTTCACACCGATGTTCCTAGGTTATTACTAGTTTAAACCATTGTCGTTCCGAGTGTGCTGTATGGTAACCACACTAGAAATCTGTTTTATATGTACAGTAAACCGCTAATATTTATGGACAAAAACGTTTTACAGTAAAATGGGATTCAATCATGTGGAGCGCTGTCTTGTTGACATGTTGTGCTGTCGGGTTTCGCTCTGACGAAAGCTGCAGTTTTGCCAACTTTACATTTTCCGACCCTTTATGTAATAACATTCTAGTCGGAATTTCACCTATATACTATCAAATCTAAACAAATAAAGCAAATCATAGTTCAGAGTCTTTCAGCACATACATTACGTTTTATATATTAACGAGGATTTACGGTTTTGCCGTATGATAATGACATATACACTCCCGGAGTCGCATAATTTGGCACCCAAAATCTGGGACCCACGTGACCAGCCTGTGTCGTAGGCCGTAGGATGAGCATCCAAAAGATGCTTAGAAAACGGATTCCGTTGCACCCCTCGTGGAACTACGTAATTTTCACATGAAGAAATAGATAAAAACTTACTTTATCAGAATCCGTTGCTCCCCAAGCGAAACAGGTGCACAATTGGGAGAAAAATCCCTCCTAAGTTTGATATTTTCGCGCTTCGACATAATCGAACCGCCATTGTTTTGATAGCAAATACGCATGCGCAACTCAGCCAAACTCGCACTGCGCACGCGCACAACCAACGCACATGCTTCGAAGTGGAAACACGCTCAGTTATGTACATAGACATGGCTGGAGATATTTATAAAACTCGAATAACCTCATGTTTTATGAATTTTGATGGCGTTACGGAGCAACTTTGCAAAGTTACACGCCAAAGGCTTGAGAAATTTCTTGAGTGTTTGTCAAAATGGGCCAAACTTAAATGCAACAAGCTGAAATAGCTAAGAAATCGTACGAGAATATCGATGACGGATCTGTCAATTCATACATCGAGAAGAACCCTGACACCATTAACTTAGAATGGAACCATCATATGAAATGCTGGAAGAGATTTTGTGATGAAGAGAAGATCCGTAGATAACTGACTGACGTGACGCGCCGTTGCGCGAAGGCGCATGCCAAAGGGCTCCGCATTTAATACAGTTTTATTTCCGCTGTATGTACAAGATTTGGACGCGAAATTACCCTTAGTTCAAGATAAAGTGAAGATTTACCTGTAAAAAGTTAAGAGCTGTTAATCAGGTACAAGATAAAGCATATTTTTGCGAATATAAATTGTTTGAAATTACAATATGTGAGAAAGTTTCGCCGAAACAATTTAAATTGGTCACATCACGCAAGCAAACGACGCACGTCAGGTGCACGCGACATCACTTACGTCAGCGCGAGAACGTTTTCATTCTAATCTGCACGTGCAAGCTCAATTAGAACTCACTTAATTTTGAAATTTGGAAAATCGCGCGGATTATATATTTATTTGAATATTTTTAACGTTATGAAGAATTATCGAAGATATGCGTGTATTTTCAACTATATAAGAGACGGTGTAAAATGCTTCATGCTTTATGTGTTCATTCTTTGGTTGTGTTCTAAATCAAAACCTTATAATCCTCCTCACAGAAGTGCTAAAGACCTAGTTATCAACTCAGCACTTGCAGTTTTACCGGAAAAATTATGTATGATTTGGACTGCTACTCGTGATCTCAAGCAAAGGAAGTTTTACTATCCGCTGAACTATCGTTACGCACTAAATCTTCAAGTGAATCAAAAGCTATCTCACGTTGTCTTATTAATTTTGCTCGCTGGTGATGTGGCAACTAATCCTGGCCCAGCGTATTATTCAGCTTCAATGAACAGTGCTTCAAGAAAGCAAGTTAAATGTTTAGTCCTCAATGCAAGGAGTATAAAGAGCATTCATAGAGTACACAATGAAACTTCAATTTCGTGTACAATGAAAACTCAGATATTATATGTGTCAGTGAAACTTGGCTTACAACGGATATTAGCAACGATGAAGTACTGCATTCTCGGTTCACAATCTATAGGAAAGATCGAGTCAATCGTTGCGGTGGTGGAGTACTTATTGCCGTAAAAACTGAGCATTTCAAATCTGTCAAGGAATTTGTGCCTGAATCTGAGGAAGCAAAACAACTTGAAATCGTGTCAGCTGAAGTGAGAACAACTGATGACAAAAAACTTCTCTACTGCTGCTGTTACCGTCCACCGGATGCGGACCTGTCTTGGACGGCTAAATTTGAAATCTTTCTAAACCACGCTTGTGATCATTACGAAAACGTCGTTCTTGCTGGAGACTTTAATTTTTCAAACATACGTTGGGAAGTGCCAGTAAGTACCTGTGGTGCTAATGAACTTTTCTTTGTGGAATCACTGAATGATCACTTCTTGTCTCAACTCAACAACACCCCAACACGCGGTAACAACATCTTAGACTTAGTTATTACAAGTGCACCAGATCATGTCAGAATAACAGAAATTTTGTCTCCTGGTGAATCATCCATCTTTACAGACCATCATTCCATTTCGTTTGACTTTAATGCATTTACTAAAGCTCCAAGAAAAACTGTGAGAAATATCTACGACTACGAGAAAGGAGACTTACAAGGTTTGTGCGCTGCTTTACGAGAGCTTGACCTGTCTACAACTATCTTGGACCAACCTGGTGACATTGATGCTGATTGGGAGCGTCGGAAAAATGCTTTTCTAACCGAAGTTTCCAAATATATACCGAAAAAGAGACTTAAAAGTCGAAATCCGTTACCATGGTTGAATAGTAACATTCTCTATCAAATAAAGAAGAAAGATTCCATTCGTAGAAAATTAAAAGTCTCGTCTACCAGTTATTTGACAGAAAAGTACAAAAACATGCGTTCTGAAGTTAAGAGGTTATTAAACGAAAGCCGAGAAAACTATTTCCGTGAAATTGACAGCAGCTTTAGAGTCAACCCAAAGCGCATGTGGTCAGTACTTAGACAAAAGTCCAAGTCATGTAGCATCCCGGATCGTATCTCTATGCCTGCAGTAACCACCACCAGTTCTTCCGATGGTCAACCTGGTTCTCTTCACGTTTCCCAAGGCGACCAATCCGACCAGTCGCCAAGACCAACTGCTGCAAACCCTGTTGAAATAGCTACATTCTTCAACACCTACTTCGAATCCGTGTTTTCATCTGAAAACCTCCCTGACGAACTTCCTACCGAAACCAGTGGTCCTCCAGTTTTAACTGAATTTACTCTGACTGAACCCGAAATGGAGATTATACTTAATTCCCTCGATACCAACAAAGACACCGGACCGGATGAAATTCCAGCCAGACTCTTCAAAAATACAGCTGCTATAGTTGCTCCCTCTCTTTGTAAGCTATTCAACAAATCCAGTCCAAGGACTGAATTAATTTTAATCCAGTCCTAGGACACTATAGGATCAATATACTTCATAAAGTATCTAGTATTATAGTGTGAGCAAAATAAAGCAATATGGTTGGCTAATTTGCTCATGAATTATTAAAGTGCCACTGCGATGGAAAATTGTGCTGTCTTTTTATTGTATATTCAGAAAGTATGTCAGTAGATAAACAAAATTACCAAATTTCAGCGTCCAATTCTATTTCCTTCTGCCTTTTTTTTTCAACGCAAACATGCAAATTTTTCGGCCGCCATTACTGAGTTGTCAATTAGCGAGATGTTGATTTCTTAGCCGGATGTGACGTCATTTACTCAACACGCTTCTTTCCCGAAGGAGAAATTAATATTATCAAAGGCTTATACTAGGCTGTTGTTTGTTCAAAATTATGTCTTCTGACGAAAGCCACAGCTCAAATTTTGCAACACATTCATCTTGCGAACTCTCTTTTGCCGAAGACTTTTCTTGTGATAGCGGGGGTGATGTAAATATGGAGAAAAGTGTGGATTTGTGCGAGGCCTATGATACTTCAGTCGAAGCTCTTGCCACTGAAAAAACATAATAGTATAATACACGAAAAGTACTATAACTGAGAGAGAGCAAGAGCAGCAAACACTGTCTGCTGGATTGTCTGGGGAAACCTTAACGGGCACCTGGTACGTTTCGGATTGTATTTATTTACGTTTTGGTTTATATATTTGTGACATAAAACAAACATGTGATGGCCATGTGAAACAAAACAAATGCTCACTGGTCTCCTTATAAAAAATCATTGTCACCTCCGTTATATTGCACGAAACGTCTTCAATGAGAGATGGCTTAAAGATGACCGTGTGCCAAATTGGAAATCCTAACTCACGTAAGAAAACATATTAATTTGCACAAAGTTGTGGGAAATATATTTCAATTATATATATTAATAAATATATTGTATACTTCAATAGTATACTTCAATAGTATAGTTTAATATATTAATGATCCATAGGTATAAATGTGGTAACTGTGTCCTGGCTCATTGTTGTTTATGTGAACCTTGTAAGAAAAAATGCTGGAAGAAAACATGCATGACTGCTGCTTATTAAACTGAGCATCCAGCATTTGATATTGGTTGTCTGAAACATCGGGTGTTAAAACTTCCTGGTTTAAGTTACAAAACCTGATTAAAAGGCTGCCAATTGCAAATTATACCACTCTGTATACCGAAGGGAAAAAGAGTGAACCAGACTAAGTATTTCAATGTGTAGTTCTAGGCAATACCCCCTGCTAATGGAAGAGATTTAGTTAATTATGAACCCCCACCCCTCTAGATTTTTCTAATTGTCACTGACAGCTTGTTTCCCCCACCCCTATGGAAATTCTGAACAGTTTTTTACTACTATCATACTTTCAAGCATGATGTCAGTGTTAAAAAATATCTCGGCAAAATGTTCATTGTTCACATAAACAAGACAGAAACCGTATCTTGGCATATGCACAGCAAGGAAGGGGGTACCTTCTTGAACTGTTGGTATACAGCTCCACACAAGTTTCACTACTTGATATGCAACTGCCCTAAGAAACATACTTTCAAAAAGAAAATTTATATATTAACATGACAGCTTTAAAATTTAGTAATCCAAAAACTATCATGTTATTTGTGAGCTGTGTTCTGCACAAAAACACCAGGATTCATAATACAAGATTCTTGTTTGCAGGATATTTCAGTACCTTGCTCATCTTTACAGGGATTCAAACATTACTAAATTCAGAATATGATACTCAGATCATGACATTGTATCAGTTTGGCTGCTCCTGGCTGATGAGAATTTCTTACCACTCATCGCCAGAGTAGGGAGTGCTCTTTTTCTCACCCACCTACCTGGTAGTCATTCTTTTTAAAGAAAAACATGCAAATATGTCTGGGGCTTGCCTTTTGAGGGAATGCTTAATGCCAAAAATTACTCATACATGACTCAGTCAAATTGCATAGTTCCAGGAAATAGCCATACCCCCCACACCTCACCCTGCTACAGAAGAGATCAAAAATTCAAAAGGATAGGGGGTGGTGTTGACCATTGCATCAAGATTTCCAATGGAATGGGGTATACTAAAAGTCTTGATATTTCCAGAGGGTTTTCAAATACAACCAATATCAAATGCTGGTCATGCATGTTTTCTTCCAGCATTTTTTCCTTACAAGGTTCACATAAACAACAATGAGTCAGGACACAGTTACCACATTTACACCTATGGACCATTAATATATTAAAGTAATTTACTATTGTATTGAAGTATATATGTTGAAATATATTTCCCACAACTTTGTGCAAATTAATATGTTTTCTTACGTGAGTTAGGATTTCCAATTTGGCACACAGTCATCTTTAAGCCATCTCTCATTGAAGACGTTTCGTGCAATATAACGGAGGTGACAATGATTTTTTATAAAGAGACCAGTGAGCATTTGTTTTGTTTCACATGGCCATCACATGTTTGTTTTATGTCACAAATATATAAACCAAAACGTAAATAAATACAATCCAAAACGTACCAGGTGCCCGTTAAGGTTTCCCCAGACAATCCAGCAGACAGTGTTTGCTGCTCTTGCTCTCCCTCAGTTATAGTACTTTTCGTGTATTATACTATTATATAAGACAAAAGTCAAGGCAGCTTATAGCAGAATACATGCAATCTCGTTTTGAGCGTGCAAGACCTTGGTCAGGATCCAATAAGTGGGATTTTATTGCTCTGATGAAAATCTGGGTTCAAAGATGAAAACATTTCTTTCAATTATAGATAGCTATAACGAAATTATGGATTTTATATTTCCTCCCAATTAATTGTTTTTTGATGAATTTCGAGTTTATATAAATATCCCTTAATGCCCGGGACGAACTGGGAAACACTGTTGTCATATTATTTGTCTTTCCAATCTTTCGGTATGTCATATTGTCTTAGCAGCGTCGTCAAACGGATAAAGGGTGTTTCATAAAATGCTTCTGAAATCTGAATTTGGTAGGAAATAATTTGCTTTCTGGGAAGCAAATTTTGCGTTTGCAATAAAAGCCCATTAAAAATCACGAATATTTCCGCGACATTACGCAATCATGAATATTTCCGCGACATATTTCAGCGAAATATTTCATTTGTTCCTTGATCGTGTGAATTGTATGCAAAAATGTTTTTATTCTCCGTCCTGTTTGATACAGCGGGTTTTTTACCTGACACAAATTTGTATTGAATTAGGATGTTAATACGAAGTAGAATTAAACGTTAAAACGGTAATTTGAAACAATAGCCAATGAATTGAAGTGATTTAGCATATGAGCAAGCAAAATATACAATGTGTTTTTAACAATATTTAATATGGGTGTATTTGTATTACAAGGTTTGATCAGTATTCCGTGATTTTAATTTGTTGTTTTTGCGGAGGAAATTGGGGACCCCCCCCCAGTGAGAATCTATTTTTATAGCCTGCGCGTGCGCAGTGCGAGTCTGGCTGAGTTACGCATGCGTATTTGCTAGCAAAATAATGGCGGTTCGAATATTTCGAAGCGCGAAAATATCAAACTTTGGAGGGATTTTTCTCCCAATTGTGCACCTCTTTCACTTGGGGAGAAACCGATTCTGATAAAGTAAGTTTTTATCTATTTATTCATTTGAAAATGACGTAGTTCCACGAAGGGTGCAACGGAATTTCATCTTTTGGATGCTCATCCTACGGCCTATAGCATCGTCACGACTCACGCCATCGTGATCTACGGCTTGGTAGCGCATGCGCATTTGCGCTGTTAAAGAAAAAATCGGGTGTTCCGGGTTAAAGGTCCTTTACACAGCATGAGAAGCGCATGTTATAAAATTTACAATAACGACAACAATTCCTCGAATTTTTTGTAAACTTGGCAAAACTTGGCTAAAGGCCCAAAACTTGGCTAAAGGCCTAACAAACTTCAAAAACTTCAAAACCGTGCAATGCGGGTGTTGACCTTTTCCAACTTTGACGCCGATGCCAATAGCTTATTGGAAAAGCTAGGGTGGGATGATCTAAACCAACAACGCCAATTTCAAAAAGCATTGATGGTTTTCAAATCTTTAAATAACCTTGCACCCGAATATCTATGTTCTAAATTTACTAATCGCAATAATGTAACTTCTTATATACTTCGAGACTCCGTGAACAAACTTGCTGCTCCTTTACCCCGCACCAATTATCTTAAAAATAGCTTTAGCTATAGGGGTGCAGTGTTATGGAACAGCTTACCTAGCAATATAAGACAAGCGGAATCTCTTACTGAATTTCGACAATTGTTGAAACATCATATTCGATAGACACGGCATTCATGGAAAACAGGTATAAATATTAATGTAACATAGGCGTGAAAATTTTTTTAAACTTATTAATGTATAGATAACTTTTTTGTAAACCTGATGAAGCTACCGTGCTTAAATAAAGATTTGACTGACTGACAGAATATTTAAATAAGACAACTGAAATTGTCTAAATAACCTTCAAAGCACAGACTAAGTACGATAAATCACTACGAACATATACCGTATACACCCCCGGAAAGTTTACTGTATGACTGACTGTTTCGTTTGGATTTCCCCCCAGTCATCACAATACTGTGGGAAAAGGGAAAAGCCCTGGGAACGAGGTTGACGGTCAGGTCGGTTCAAGTATTTGATATTTCGGATCATGATATATCAATGCAATTTAGTAATCATGAAATATCACATACTCCAACCGACCTGACCGCGTAGCTCAGTTGGAAGAGCATTGGGCTAGTATTCCAAAGGTCCTAGGTTCGATTCCCACCGTGGTCAGGCATATTTTTTAAGCTTACTCGGTGTGGATATACACTCAGAGTAACATCACAAGCATCATATTCACCTGAATACATTACACCAACACAGAAAAATCTGGAATCGTGTCCAAATTCAACGAAACTGCAAGATAACCCGAGTTGTGGGCAGTAATATGCGCCTATTTCCTGAAATCCTACCATCGGAAGTCCCACCACCCCCGGACATTTTTTGGGGGGTCTGTTTCTACTAACATAACTGTTTTACGTCCTGTCTAAACGCTGCATTTTACATGTACCAAGTCTAGAAAAGTTTGTTCAGCCCTTTAAGTGCTACCAAATTATTTTACTCAGCTTAACGTGCCAGAAGATTGTACTAGTGAAGGCGAGAGTGCTACTGCTCAATTGTTAATCAGACTATCTAATGCACTTTACTATCTTACTCTGTCTAATGCCAGACGATTTTGCTCATCAAGGGGAGAGTGCTGGCACTCGATGGGTTAAGACCGTTAAGAGCGACATCAGACGAATATTTGACTTAATTTAAAGGTCTCATATTTAATGTGTGCCAATTAATAATTAGTTTAATTGCAAAGTAATTACTTTGCATAAATATATAACTTATATATGTTCACTTAGGAAGGATTTCAGGACTTGCTATGGAAGGATTGGTATGTCGGAAAGTTTGTTTCCTGGTGTTCCAATCCTGGCATTGTCAGCTATACTACAGCATCAACTCAGAAAAAGAAAGTAATGCGTCAACTCAGAGAAAGAAAGAAATTGCATCAACAAAATAAAGAATATTGTGTAATTGATAAATATTGATTTATTCTTACAATTCCTCCATGAGAATTTGGTGTGCTAATTAATGGAGAAACTGTAAAAAAATAAAGAACAGCTTTATGGTGCATCCACGCTGTACTAATATTGCAGTGGTGTAGGAAATGGAGGTGTGTGGGTACCAGTATGCGGTGCGCTTGTGTGTGGGGGCTGGAGGTTCCAGGAATTCCCCGACAAGGAATATCAGGTTCCCAGCACGGGATTATAATCTTTCAAACAGTAAAATTATTTATTCTTCTAAAACTTTCACCTCTGGTCATCATTAATTATATAATTCAATTCACTTTCAAACAGGATTTTTCAAGAGGTTTACTTTATTTTTAACAACGTTTCGGACAGTTTTACTGTCCATCTTCAGGTTATTACAACTTTGTAAATGTTGACGTGTACAAACTAATTTAACGTTCGTTCTACGCAAGCTTAATTTCAAACTGAAATGCACGCGCACGCGCGTGTCTGTTCTCATTATCGAAATATCTGTCTAAAATAGGCCTCCATTCTGTCAATGACTCAAAACTGTTTAATACTTTCATACCACGATGTATTTCCCAGAGAGAGTCTATTCCTTCTTTCACCTTTCTTTGTCTCAAACCACTTTCTTTTGCCACAACACTTGTATTTTCCCAATCAACTCCACTTAAACAATTCACATTTTGTCGCGCTAATCCCCCGTCTTCCTTTCCCATTCGTTCATTGGCCATGTCAGGTTCCCGTTTTTGATATGACGATAAACACTTGGAAGTTGAGTTAAAGAATGTTGAAGATGTGTTTGTGGCAAATGGGTATGACAGAAAGGTAGTTAAACAGTATATGAAGCAGAATGTATGGAGTGAAAGAGAAATGGAAGAACAACAATATCGAGGAAAGGTGATGGTACCGTATGTTCGCGGAATATCAGAACAGTTTAAGAGAGTAGCTTTGAAACATTCTTTTCAAACGGCCTTCAAATCAGGAAAGAAAGTCAAAGATCTAAAGACCAGATCCCAACAACCACTTCGTGAGAAGCAGAAAGGTGTTGTGTACAAGATTCCGTGCAAATGTGAGAACGCAGCGTATGTTGGAGAAACGTGGAGATTACTGAAGACAAGAAAAAAGGAACATGAAAGCAAAGTGAGACTAACGAATGAAGATATCAACTAGGGATCCAAGGATAGTGTGAAGTTTCAAATTGAAAAAGATTCTGCAAGAACTATATAGGGTCGCTGACAACCTAGAAAAGCTGATGTCTTACACTACGAAATAAACAATCACCAATGGCATTTTATCTCATTATATATTGCTTTTAATGCGCTCGACACACGAGTAGCGTGACGTTTGAAACAAGCCTAACACATCAGAAACGTGCTTTGTGAAACTGATACAATTTATCTATTTATTGTGACGCTACAGGCGACAATTCAAGATTTCAATTGCAGCTGTCGCTAAAAGCATCCGCAAAAGGCTACTGCAAACTTATAATTGAAATAGATGATACGATATGTTATAAATAATAAGCACTACGTCGTTACATTGAAAGGAAGCATTTTATCTTCATCCGTTCCGTATTTTTTTCGCATTTCCGTTCTGTGGTCCGCTCCACCCGCTTCCGCATTTTAACCTAATTGTGACATGTTTTACAATAACAAGTCCGCATTGACCTTTGACTTTTCCCAGTGTCACGTTGTGTCTATTTTTAGCTTTTCGCATGTTTTGAATAATTCACTTTAGATTTCAATAGTTTCACAGTTATAGCAGTGTTTAAAGCAGTTTTGACAAGCTTTGATACAGTTCTGTGTACAGAATACTACAGATTAATTCTCGTAAGATCTGGTAGAGTTAACGTTGCACTGAACACGAATTTGCACCGTTGACAACGGCGTTGTGCTAGACAGTAAACAAGGTCCGCGACAGTACACGTTAGCTACATGTACCTCCTTGCTTTTTTCTTCCATTGCATAAAGCTTGTTGGTGAGCCAAGCGATTGGTGATAACACGTTGGCGATAACATATTGGCTATCGCCTCGTCTTTCTTATTAAAATAAGGAGCTCTGACTCAACTGATTTCCTTCGTCTCGCAATATTTTCTTCATAAACGTCTGTACGAACGCCCGCTTCTGTTTAATAGTTGTCGATGCTTTATTGATCTGATGCAATTTTTCGCTCTTTGCCTGCGTGTACTATTCTGTGATGTGGCACCTTATACAGTCAAATAACAATGTATAATGAATACACGGTCTAAATAATATCGTCTATCGATGGGCACTTAATTGAACGCCGGTAACCATACTCATCAATTTATATATCATATTATTGCGTAGAATCTCCGGCAAAGATTTTCTCAATATTCATGTCTGAAATGTTTACATATTTGAAAAACAACACTGTCTCGCTTCTTCGTACATACTGTACCCCTGTATAATGAGTATACCAGCACTCAATTGAATGCCTGGAATCTCAAAGATTTTCGGCTCAATATTTACGTCTGAAATGTTTATACAATGAGTCTTAAATGCACTGTCTAGGCGGTCTACAGTAGCTCCTTCCTAGCTCTGTATAATGAATATACCGCCTAAATATTATCGACACTTATTAATTGAACGGCCGTAATGCATAAGATCAATTTATATATTGCGTAGATTTTCAAAGATTTACTCAATATTCACGTCTGAAATGTTTATACATCTGAAAACAACACTGTCACTCCTTCCTAGCATGTCGTCACGCCATCGTAATCTACGGCTTGATAGCGCGTGCGCATTTGCGCTACTAAAGAAAAATCGGGTGTTCCGGGGTAAAGATCCTTTACACAACATGAGAAGCGAATGTTCTAAAATTTACAAAGAATTACAATAACGAAAGCGATTGCTCGAAATTTTTGTGAACTTGCTAAAAGGATAACATAATATGTAAATAAGTTAACTGAAATTGCCTAAATAACCTTCAAAGTACTAAGCACAATAAATCACTACGAACATAAATGGTACACGCCCCCCGGAAAGTTTACTGTATGACTGAATGAATGAATGACTGACTGACTGACTGTTTCGTTTGAATCTTGCCCACCATCACAATACTGTGAAGTTTCGAAGAAACTTCACACTAAAAACGGGAACCTGACAATGGCCAATGAACGAATGGGAAAGGAAGACGGGGGATTAGCGCGACACAATGTGAATTGTTTAAGTGGAGTTGATTGGGAAAATACAAGTGTTGTGGCAAAAGAAAGTACGGGAACCTGACAATGGCCAATGAACGAATGGGAAAGGAAGACGGGGGATTAGCGCGACACAATGTGAATTGTTTAAATGGAGTTGATTGGGAAAATACAAGTGTTGTGGCAAAAGAAAGTGGTTTGAGACAAAGAAAGGTGAAAGAAGGAATAGAGTCTCTCAGGGAAATACATCGTGGTATGAAAGTATTAAACAGTTTTGAGTCATTGACAGTATGGAGGCCTATTTTAGACAGATATTTCGATAATGAGAACAGACACGCGCGTGCGCGTGCATTTTAGTTTGAAATTAAGCTTGCGTAGAACGAACGTTAAATTAGTTTGTACACGTCAACATTTACAAAGAACTTATAACATTATCAGGGGCGGATTCAGCGTCTCAATCTGACCGTAGCATTTTGGATGAAATCAACATGCGGGGCCGAAGGCCACGCCCTACCTAGGGGGGTTTAGAGGCATGCCCCCCCAGAAAATTTTTGAAATTTGAAGCCCGCAAGTACCATTTCCTGCATTCTGAGCATCGAAATAAGATTTAAAATTTGTAGAAAAGTGGCTGTTTTTCACACCAAAATAAGAAAAAAACGCACAAAAGTTACAAAATTTATTCATCAACATACCACTTCGAACAACAGATTATCTTGAAAAAGTAAGATAACAGTAGTTCGAAAGTTTTCAAATGTACATCATCTTGAAACAGCGGCCCAACGACAGTTAGGGACAATGTTTATCTGGCTAAGCAGCAGCATATATAGATCATCCCGAAACAGCAGGGCAACTTATGGCAGTCAGGAAACTGAAATATTTTCTGTACTGTAGTATAGATTATCTCCAAGTTATAGGAAAAATGTTTATTTGTAGATCATCTTCAAACAGCAGCACAACGGCAATTAGGAAAAATGTTTATTTGTATATGTTTATTTGTACTAAAATTCGAGCAATACTGCAGGAATTTGCGCAGAGCTGGGTGCGCAAATTTTAGTACTGCGGGAAATATAATCCACGCGAAAAGCTTTGCGGTGTAATATTCACTCGTTGTTAGTAAATAATATAATGTAAGGCAATACCATATAGTACGAACCTATAATATATGGGATGCTAATAAAATTAGCTATTGTTATTGTATTAGGCAAATGAAAACCATACATTTTGAAGTTTGAACTTTATACGTTTTAAGCCTGGTTCACATATATGCCTGGTTCACATATATGCCTGCGACGTACCGGCGACGATGCCGATGGTAGCTTTAAAACGTAAATTATGTGAACATTTGGTCGCCGATTGCCTCCAGTGCCACAGTTACATTGGCGGTAGGCCGGGAAAGTTGACTTGAGACTTGAGTTCAACTTTGCCGGTATTTCGGCGGCAAGTAGAGGCATAATGATACAGTCGCAGGCATGCCGCAGGCATATGTGAACCAGGCTTTACTGTTATCATGAATTTTGTTTTGACAAATATTGAAGTATTTGTTGTTATAGTTCTATTAATGAAACCAAAAGGAACCAACACGGAAAATTACTTGCGCGAATGCTGCGCGAACAAGTTTCGCGAAATTTGAATGCGCGAATTTAAAGCTGAACAAAATTGAGTATACGACGCGAATTTTAATACAAGTAAGGTATCCAATACATGGATTTGAAACATCTAACCATATATTTATGATATGTTATCCCAGGAAGCAGGCTCAGCTGTTGTAATTCTAAACTCTGTTAGTATACATGTAAACTACAATATAATATATCGGAGTGTAACTATTTCTGTAAGTTTCATTTACACTACTCACTAGTCTTTATAGACTACAACAGGTCTACAACTAATAATTACATGAGCAAAGTCTAAGATATGAAATATATAGGAGATTAACTAACATATTTCTTAATATAAACACACATGGCATGCCAATGGCTATCAAATAGTGTGAGTGGCCATTGATATTGTTCTGCATTTTTATAATGATACGTTTCATCAGCAAATATATGGTAATATATTCGAGACGCATGAACTTTGTAAAATTCGATATGTTATTTACATATTTAATATACTATTCATGAGACTGACCTGACACGGAGGTGATTCAAACAGCGCTGTCTTCACAGTTCACATCGCGGGAAACGCAAATTATGCCAATAATCGCACACCAAATAAAAGCTTTCGATCAGAATTTTTCCGCGCACCTTTTCGTTAAATGAAACACGTTTACATTCGTTCATTATACACAGAAGATCGTGGAGTCATGTAGAAGCCACCATATCTTTCTCCTTGGAACGAGCGGCGATTAAAATTTAGCGACTATTCGATTACAACGAGGAGCCGACACGACAATAACAAGCCAGCATCGCTCTGAAGTCGATGCGACTATTGCAAACAGTAGCATTTTGCCTCATTCTGATTGGCTTACTTCGTCTGACCGTAGCAAACCAATCAGCGCGCCGTATTTGCGAATTTTTGCAACGGTCAGTTTCAATCTGACCACTGCAAAAATTTCCAAATACAGCGCTATGATTGGTTTGCTACGGTTAGACAAAGCAAGCCAATCACAATGAAGCAAATGCTACGACTTCAGAACGATGTGATATAGTACTAGTGCAAAACCCACAAATACAGGCAGTATTTCGGGCGGAGATTTGAGAAAAACCCGAACTTAATTATCCAAAATGAAATAAAAAATCGATAAAATTGTATCAATATGATTTAGTAAATTTTAAAAAAATTGCACCAAGTTTCAATGAAAAATTGAAAATAACGGCAATTAAAAATAGTATAACGTTTTAGTTTTTAATAACTTTAAAAAAGGTACAACCAGCTGGAAAAATATATCTCAGGGAAATCTGACCGTAGCATATGCTACGGTTGCAACGGTCTGAATCCGCCCCTGCTGAGTCATTTACAAAGTTGTAATAACCTGAAGACGGACAGTAAAACTGTCCGAAACGTTGTTAAAAATAAAGTAAACCTCTTGAAAAATCCTGTTTGAAAGTGAATTGAATTATATAATTAGTAAAATTATTGTTTTGTATGTTCAACTTATGCTCACACATGGAAAAGTTGAACTTTTGGGCTCTGAAATCGCGCAGAATTTATTGTCTGTAACAATGCATTTACCAGCACTACAAAACATGCTCATTACAAAACATAATTCTTCCCAGTATATTACACTTCCCTGATTGGAGAGAGGCTAGAATTTCCACATAGGGGAGCTACAGCTCCCCCCCCCCCCATACTTGACTCTTGCATGCACCACTCCTGCCTTGCCCAATTTCTCTTCAAAAGTTTCCAAATGATAAATTTGGTGCTGTTGACATGAATTATAATTAAATAAAGTGCTCCTCAATTTTAAATTTCAAAACTTTTCTCCTGTGCCTATGGTGACTAATTAAACCTTGAAATCTAGCACTATAAACATAATGTCAACTGCATGTAAGAGATTCAGAAGTTAGTTTCCAACATGTTGACACATTACTTTTAAAATACTGAATGTACGTACAGCACAAAATTGAAAAAGTTGTTTGGAGGCTCATCACCCGCGGTGGACACTAAGGGTCCGGGTCATGAGGAAAACTCTGAAAGGCTTTGAATGAATGCTGAATAACTGTGTTATATGCATGAAATTTAAGGCAAAAAGAAATGTTGAAGAACTAATATTTCCAGTTACGGAATTTAAACTAAATAATTATATTAATCACTTTGTCATTATTAAATACAATTAATATAAAATATAATCTTTATATAAATTAAGACCCTTTGATGAAATTGATATAAAATCAATAAAGAATGTCAATTTATATTTTATAACATGCTATATTTATAATATCATGAATAGTATGGAGTCTCGTCACTCTCGTGGAGTCTTGCATCAAAAAAACTACAATACATGCACACTCATTCACGATCAGGATTTTGTCATTGAAATTGAATGATTCAAGACATCACTCACAATTTTTGTAGATTTGTACAATTAACGGTACAGTCTTTCTCGCATAGCCTTTCGTCTGTCTTTGTTTATACTTTGTATATAAAATGTCCCTTTGGCTTTGGTGATTACAATATTTTAAATAATCGAATGCCCAATTTTGTGCCGCTTTTTAATACATTGTAACACAACATCCAATATATTTTATATTAAAAATAAAATTTCCGTTGATAGACAGCAGATTTCAACGATCAATACACTCCTGGATAGTCAGCCATATTTTAATAGTACAATCAGGTGCAATATAAATTCATGTTCAATTTCCGCATTCCACTGTTTTTTTTGTGCGACCAATCAAATCACTTCTCGTTTTGGTTCTCACCAGGGCCTTCGGCAACGCAGTGTCAGTCGTGAGGCACTGGGACCGAGGATGATATTTATAACGGCAAAAATAGTGAAATTCGTACTATATAATTTGCATTCTGAATCCATAGTATGGACATTGGCATAAAAATTGCATTTCCATACTATTTCCAACGAAGATCCACGCTATTCCCATAGTAAGGATTTCGAAAAAATATCCAGTGTTCTATCTTAGGGATAGGATTGTGCGGTATGATCAAAGAGAGATTTATTTATGGCATAACACCAGGATGGAGGCCTTCAATCAAATTACAATAAAAACTCAAAACTCTTTTTTCCTACCTTCACAGTACGTCCCATTTCCAGTGAAAAATTCTATACATGCGCATGTATAGGAACCAATTGTATCCGTACAGGTCGCATTAGCATGGCATGTATGAGTTCCCGTAGAACATTCGTCAATATCTAAATTAGAGATAGGTTTCATTGACAATAAGTAATCTATAACGATCACAGCCATTTCATTCTCCATAATATTCTGCATTGAAGCTTAAATCCTAGAAGAGAAATCGCATACACACCTTGGAATACTATACTCCATGGAGCGTGCACGTGAACAAATAAAGTTCCTCTCTTCTGGTTCATACAGTATTTCCCGAGGACGATGGATAATCGAGGTCATTTGTTACGATAATTATAACAGCCTGATAGACCTTAGCCCAAGTTTGGTATCTGGACTAGGCTAAAAAACTTGTTTTGAATTCACATTTTGGCACCACGCACAAAGCTCTAAATGCTCGCTCATGGAATAGAAAATGTAATTATATATAAAATTACAAGATCTTTCAAACATTCAAGTTTTATTACGGCCTACCAACTTGAGACTTGAAAATGTCAGGTACGTGCTGGAGTTCTTCTATGCATTTCAAACTGTCCAACTTGCAACTTTCACACAGACCTGCATGTTTTTTTACGCGGGAAAGGTTCCAAATCCCATCTCCAAATTAATTGCTGACTTTTTATCCAAATCTTTTTTATCCAAATTTAACATTTTCCAAAATCAATCGTCTGTGTGTGGAAAATGCGAGATATCATCATTATTATAAGTTTCTTGTGGATGCGCTGAATGGACACTAAAGCATGAACGGCTCACGCAATAACAACTTTGAATTCACTATTTCGTATCTTACAGCTGTGGTATCAAGGATATACACTCCCCCATGTTTAGCTATATCTGTCTTTGCCTGACTAAGGGACCGTTCATTAATTATACGTCAGGGTGGGCTGGAGGAAAGAGCAGAAACGGTGCAAGTTTTCCATGACCCCCATTTAGATGTTAATTTTTCATGACCCGCTTCTAACCGACATTTTTTTCACAAGCCCCCTCCTATTTATTTTCACTAAGTCGTACAAATTTTCCCAAAAATGTTGTCGACGGGAAGGTAAAAAATTTCCTGACGAACATAAGCATAGTCTAAACATTTTTAAACATATTCAAACGCTTCCCAATTTTTTCACCACAAACATAACAAAAGCTTTAAAATTGTTAAAATTGCAAACCATTTCATCCAAATGGTTTTGGTTGGAAGGCTTAATATTTGAAACTGGTCAACCTAAAATATTAATAATTACCACAAATAATTTTGCCCCCCCCCTTTCATGCTGAAAACACTTTAAAGGCCCCCATCCTTCTAACCATAAATTGTTTTGGCAACCCCCTAATTTTCCTCCAGCCCCAACGGTCCTTAATTAATGAACGGTCCCTAAACAGACATTCAATGTATTTCTAATTATCACCTTATTTCAAACTTGTTTTAATTTCCTTACAAAGATATTCTGTAATGTAATTAATTATGTATTTCTGTTTGCACATTGTTTTGACTAAATCCAGCTGATTGGTTTGTTTTTGTCATGCGAAGGCTTTTATATTCACTGCCAGGCTGCTTAGTTTAATGTTTAGAGTACACTAATACAACACTAATAGAATCGAACAGGAAACGGTTTTATGACTGTTTTGACTGCTCCAATTGTTAAGTAGGGGTAGTCAGAACATTCATGTAACCGTGTTCGCGGATCCATTCTATGAGTGTTCTGAAAAATCGGAGTACTCCGCAAACAGTAAATGGAGCAGCCTTTTGTACCAAATCACATGAAATTTTCCCGATCCAGGTTACTAACTTCGCGATTATATTCCAATTATAAGCAACATATTGGTCAAGTTTCGTGCAAAAACAGTAGATTTGTTTTGGTTTTGTTCGGAATTAAGTAAATAGAATATTTCACTTTGCTCTAGAACGTGTTGTTACTAACTTCGTGACGACGGACCTTCCCTCGAAACGTCAAAGTTCTGCTGATATTTCTCGGGTAGGCGCACTCCGTCTCTACCTATACCGTCTATACACTGGCACCGACCGTTCGAGATTTCATATCTTATTCAACATTTGCAAATGTGAAAGAAGAGAATCAGCATGTCCCTACCTTGACAATTTCTACCATTTCCGGTGAAACCTGGCTTACATTCACAGGTATAGGAACCCATTGTATCAATACAGTTTGCAACACTATGACATTCATCAATTCCCGAAGAACATTCGTTAATATCTATATTAGAGATTGCATAAATTACATAGAAAACCTGCAATTTTGAAAATAATTATAATTGCTTCATTTGCATAAATATCTAACATGAAACTTTATAATTCACAAATATGAATATTTGCACAGCTCACAGCTGAAGTTTTTTGTAAGCTATATAGGCAACACATGCAGGAAAAACATTCAGCATAACTCGAGGCGTAGCCGAGTGTTTTACACGCTTCTCCAGTATTCTCCCAACATTCCCCGAGATTATCACATCATAAAAGCATGAGACGAGTTTTATTTCTTTTATAACTTAAGTGGAAAATGTTACATAGTATACACAAGTTCACTCAAAAGATCAACTTTGAAATTCGCCCAACATGTACTTAGTGACGTCACGCGCATGTTTTTACCCTTTTACTGACGCTTGAATTTTCAAGCGAGCAAAGGAGTAAACAAAATATCATTTTGATGATAAAGTTGCGGAGAAACTAAAATGCTGGGGAAAACTCCAGTGGTACACACACTAATTTGCTAATTTTTTTCATCATTTGGGCTGCTCGATTTGCCATGAAAGACGTTAAGTCTTAGGGTAAGCATCGAAGGTACTTTCTAAATCACTTTAAGTGTACCTTTCAGATCACAATGTTCAGTTCTTGTTAATTGCTTTTTTCTATATTTTTTGTATTCTTGTGTCTTTTTCAAGTTTTTTTTCTAAGCTACTTTGCACGCTTTTAATTGCCCAAAAGTTGTTGAGAGAAAAATTGACGAATACCAAGCGGGTCGGTTTTACTGTTTTTACACATAGAACTATATGTAGATAAAATTGCTTTGTTCCTTTGGTATTTCCTTCCTGCTTTCTGATAAATTTTGTATTTCAAAAGCTCGATAGGTTTGTTTATATTTTTGGCTAAAAAGCAGAGATAAAGCGGGGGGAAACACAGAAAGAGCAAGGCACTGAGTGACACGGAACAGGGCATCAATACGTCACAATGCACGCGTATTAACAAATCAAATTGTCTGTTATATCCCACTTATATTACAAATTGCTATAAAGTGATTTCGATTTGCAATTTAAAGCAAGAAGTAGTTTGCATGTTGGATATAACAACATATACGTGCATTATAAATTAATCAAACCAAGGAAACAATCCTACTTCTCCAGTCAACCAGTCAATAATCCTTTATGGATGTAATAAAGAAATACTGAAAATGTTAGACTGATTAAAACCGCTCTACTGCGATGCACTAAAATTCCATTTCATATAGTTAAAAAAAGATATTTCTCATACTTTGGCAATTTACGCCATCTCCGCTGAAACCTTCACGACACACACAGGTAAAAGAGGCAGTTGTATTAATACAGTTCGCATCAGCATCGCAATTATGAGATCCAGCAGCGCATTCGTCAATATCTAAAATTAAAATAAGATATATTTCATAAATCATGAGAGGCAATATCAATAGTCGTCTATCGCCGGATTTTCCGAGAGGGGGGCTTCGTAATCAAAAATATAAAAACCGTGTAATCAATTTCTTGGATATTCTTCACCCTTTTCGGCCATTTTAACTTCGTTAGCCACTCCATGGAATATCAAGCACATTTAATCTATTACTACATATTTATGACCCACTTTAAATTCTCAAATGTGAAAACAGCATGAGAGTTATACCACAACTCTGACCCAGGCATGCAGTTAGAAAAACAACAGAAAATGGGGAGAATGTCGATGAACGTTTTCAAAGAACAGTAAAATATCGGAACTTTTGGTAACAGATTCTAAGCTGCTAAGATACATGCACAGTGAACAAAATAACGTGTTGGGTATTTTAGGGGGTGGCAATCGAAATTTATCTGATTGCCCTGCACGTGTGAAAATAGTTTCTACAGGTTTTCAGTATTTGAAGAAAATTGATTTCAACTCGGGAAACTGGCCATATTGTATCACCATTCATATTATTTTCTCTGAGCAGCACTTCCTAGAATGAAAATTATTCTTTCCAGGAGTGTCGGCATGAAGTGGATAATCATATGCATATATAATCACATTGCACATTAAAACTCATTTATATGAGAAAGGCTTTGTCGTGACCCGATGACCGGCAAACGACGTGCTAATATACCTGTGCTTAAAAATAATGTTTCCGCTAAATCAAAGATAGTTAAATTAAATTAAAATATAGTCCGTTTGAAACTTGAAAAGGGAGAGGAAAAAATCTGATAAAGATAAAGGCCCTGCAACCAAATGATTTATCTGAAGTTCTATACAACGTTTTAAAGATGTACATATTTCGTACATCTTCAGAATGGATATTGAAAAAGAAAATCAGTTTTTCTCTCCTACCTTCACAATCTACGCCATTTCCAGTGAAACCTTCCTTACATTGACACGTGTAGGAACTATTTGTATTTGTACAATTCGCATTATCATGACAATTGTCGCTTCCCAAAGCGCATTCGTCAATATCTAAACGAGGAAATATTCGTAAGTAACATAAATAGAAATCTATAATGATTTTTTTACCGTTAAAGATATTTTTTCTATTTTCACTATGGAGTTGTTGACAACAAGGAGGAATTTCGTTCTCGACCTATCAATGCATTTGTTGACATTTTCGCTCTAAGCCATTCAGAATGCGCAATTGGTTACTAATTCCGGCAAAAACACACATTTGAACAGAAAATATAAGGTCTTAAATAAAGCTTAAGGGGGTCAAGGATTTTTAATTTTTTGGTTGGATTTAACGTGACAAGGTAAAATGAGAAATTTTCATAATCTCGCTGGGATTTGCGTTTTATTGTCTAGTTTTAAGTTATCGGCACTCGTTGAAGTCTGAAACAAAATGATCGTCGCAGGTTCTAAAAACTAAAACATGACTGAATAAATGGATATTCTATTTAAATTAAATACATTACAGACCATCTCGTATATATAAATAGTTAGAAAAACACCATCGCCAGTCTTACGTAAATTTCGTAATATCTAAAATAGAGAACATTTCGTTGTCCAAATTTTAGGTAAACTGCTTCCATTTTCCATTATATAGTTTTTCAAATATAAAAAATTTGGAGTTAAATCCATATTCTGATAAGTAGTTATACCTGTGAATTATTGCTATATATAATTATGAATTATCACATTAGCCTAATATAAAGTATATTGTGTCTGGCTAAAAAATCCACTAAATCAAAATACTTTGCGCCTACCAAAATTGCATGCTAAAGCGCCATTGCTATTGTAACGTATTTAATTTTCATGATGCTTGTACGAAATTTTCATTTCATGCTTGTACGAAATTTTTTTTTTTTTTTTCTATTAAACTACAAATCACTTGTTTTTTGTTGTTGAAATCTGTTACGTTTCTGGCTGGAAAATTATGTCACTAAATTGAAGCCAAAAACGTAAATACTTTTAAACCAATGATATAGTCTAATATATTTAATAAGAACAGCACACTGTGGGAATTGATATTAAAACTGAAATCAATTTCAAAATACGACTATCCATTCAATAGATACAGTGAAGAAAAGTTGATCGAATCGTGTGAATTTTATATTTTACCTTCTATAGTGTTAAATAGCAAAATTCAACATAAGTCTGTTGCTCATTATAGACAGTTTCAAGTTGCCGAGTTCCTACACCATATCTCGATAAACTATTAGGCGAACCACCAAAATAAAGAAATCTGTCACACACTAACTCAATTTTGAAACATTACATATTGCTTACCAGAACATGTTAGTCCTTCAAAGCCGTCCTTACATGTGTATTCACATCTTCCCAATAGGTCAGTGCAAATTGCGTTCTCAGGACATGCGCCCGGTTCAGCACACTCGTTGATTTCTAGAAATATACAATATGAATTCAAGTCCTGTCCTAAATCTATTTCCATTTTATTGCTCACGTGCTACAGCAATATTTCGTATAATTCGTCATACTCAAAATAACAAATGGAGAAACCTTTCTTCTAAATTTAAAATTGACAACCAACAATCGCCGTCACGTGCGTATTGACATATTGTGTTTTTGTCTAACTATAACCAATAGCACTGGTTTAGGAAAGTTACCTATCCGTGACTCGAACAATAGGGTAAATTGGAAATTGCTGTTGGTGTTTCGTATTGTATTTCCCCTGATTTATGAATAAACGTTGACTAACATATATAGATAATGAATATATATATATTGTTCCAATGAGTTTCAGAGCCATCATCCCTTCGATAAGCTATGCGTTACAGGAAGACGAAATTTATTGGACACATTGACAATGTTATATATGATACGTGACGCGATATAATACGTGACGCGCTATCGCGTGAGGAGCGAGCCTGAACGCGACGCGGTTAACGTTTATGCAAATTTTCTACCGCTGTTTTTGGAAATTTGAAAGTGAAACATTGCTGGATTGTAAATAAAGTTAAGATCTACCTGGACAAGTGAAAATCCTGTTAATTGATAGTGGGCTGTTTGGATATTTGTCGAAATAGTCTATTTTCACGGCGACGATAGACTTTTAAAACTTCAGTTGGGACCGTTTGATTATCACGTATAAACATATGCATACAGCGCACGCGACAACATTACACGCCAGTGCAACAAGCTCAAATCACAATTGGAACTCCGATTAGAACTGTTTTGAATTGGATAATTTGATGCTTTCAATTAATCTTTTAAAAAAACCCAAGATGAATAAATTCATGATTAAGAACCCTATCTTTTTTATCATCCTGGTTTATTGGTTGTCCGCTTCTGTGGTAACGGGATGCAAATACGACGATGTGGCCAAAAATATCTTATTTAATCGGACCGTTTCACAATTGCGTTTCTATTCATATATGGAGGATGAAATCTTGGTTTTTAGTTCTTACGTGGATGATTTTGATTATTTCAACGAACTCAAAGATTTATACAATTTTTCATCCATATACAACTTTTGTCCAGAGTTTACCAATTCATTTCTGGCAAAAGAATATTATACGACTGAAAAAGGTTGGTACTGTGTTATTAACAATCGGACACGCTTTGTTGTATTTATTAAACGTAAATTTATGAGACGAAGACTTCACTATTATACAAATTGTCAGTCGACTTTTAACCCTACCGTACTGTCTGCGTATTTAATAATGTGCGGTGACATCCATCCTAATCCAGGACCAACATCTACAAACACCTCTGTAAACGGAAATTCGTCTCGCAGAAATAACTGTGCTTCGCGTAAACGACAACCCGGGGACAAACAGTCAAACTTGTTCTGTATGCATATGAATGCCAGGAGTTTGAAAAAGAATATCAACACGCAAGGAAACTTATTTATTTCTAACCTGATTAAGTTTCAAGAGATGGTATATTCGGAATCGGTTGATATAATGTTTGTGACTAAAACCTGACTCAACAGCAATGTTACAAGTAAAGAAATTTTACCTAATGGATACAATATATACAGATCAGACCGGTCGCTGGAACGAACTGGAGGAGGAACACTGATAGCTATCAAACATGGTATTTTCATCAGCTGCAGTCAAATTACTTCCATTGCTACTACGAATTTGGAGGCAGTTGCTATTCAATGTACCCTACCCAACCACGCAAAATGGCTTCTTGTGTGCTCTTATAGACCACCTGATAGTAACGATATGTCTGATCTTAGATCCTTTGCTGATAACCTATTTCCTAGTTACGACAAGATTATCATTGCCGGGGATTTTAACCTCCCAAATATCTCTTGGACAGATGGTAGCTATACATCGTTTGGTTGATTGAGTCAGAATTTCTGCGATATTTTGGACGATTACTTCATGTCGCAACTTTGCCTTACGCCTACGAGAGAATCAAATATTCTGGATCTACTGATTACAAACCAACCTGAACAAGTATCATTTATAGACATCTGCTCTCCAACGGATTTAGGAATCTTTTCTGATCATAAAATTATACAGTTTAAATTTTCCTCCGCATCTAAAACCATTCAATCTAATAAACGTTTGGTCTACGATTATATACGAGCCAACTTTGACAGCCTACGAAAACGTTTAATAGACATAGACATTTGTTCTCTTGTAACAAATAATGGAACGGAATCTAGTGTTGATGATGACTGGTCAACTTGGAAGGACGCCGTGATGTTTGCTGTGCACGAATTTACCCCTTCCAAGTATGTGGACCCTCGTCGCGCACCACCTTGGATAACACCTACCATCTTACATCATATTCGTAAAAAGGTTACTGTCCGTAAGAGATTCCTCAGCCGTGGAACTGATTATCTTAAGTCGAAGTTTAACAAACTGAGAGCTGAAGTTTAAAAAATGATTCAAAATAGCAGAGAGTCATTTTTTTCGTCATTAAGAAACACTATACAAATCAACCCAAAAGTTTTTGGTCGGTTTTCAAAATCAAGTCAAGTTCTGGAAATATACCCAAATCCGTCACAAGGTCGGATACCAACAATCCTGGGACTAGATTACATGCTAACACACCACACGACATTGCAACAATGTTTAATGAGTACTTTCATTCTGTCTACACATGTTTCTCTGACCAACCCTTGCCATCTTAATCTGGTTCATCATCTCCTTTATCCAGCATCTCATTTATTGACCTCTCTCTAGAAGAAGTATATCAAGCCTTACTGAACTTAGATCATTCTAAGGGTCATTGTCCTGACAGGTTTCCTTCCCGCATTTTAAAGGAATGTGCCCTCCAATTAGCACCTTCACTTCATTACTTGTTTTCAAAGTCACTCCGCTTATCGCAGGTTCCCACCGAATGGAAATTAGCTAACATAATTCCTCTACTCAAGAAAGGAAACAAAGATCACGTTGAAAACTACCGTCCCATCTCTCTGTTGTTTATCATAAGCAAGACTCTTGAACGTTGTGTCCTCAATCACTTATCGCACCGTCCACAGTCCAACATTCATTCGCCGCTGTATGGTTTCGTCAACGTAAGATCAAGCACAGCTCAGTTATTGTCAATTTTAAACACTATTGGGAAAAAACGTGGATCAGGGTTTACACACTGATGTTGTTTTCATGGATATTTGTAAGGCCTTCGATAGCTATTTGTGGTGTTACTCTGAGTGTATATCCACACCGGGCGAGCTTGAAAAGTATGCCCGGCCACGGTGGGATTCGAACCTACGACCTTTGGAATACTAGCCCAATGC